AACAACAACGAAACGTCGACATTCGGTCATCAAAATATATATCTCTCTTGGTGGGTGTATGCTATATATACATACATACATATGAGTTTGTATCTGTGTGTGTGTGTGTGTACTTGGGCTTGGCAAAGGCATTCCACTCGAACCACCATTTTCGAATTCAAGGAGTGTTGAGGGGGGGGTTGCGGGGTGGGGAGCTACTGGTGGGAGGGACCGCCCGTTGCGCCAATTTATGACCTGTCAGAAATTTCCCCAACACAACATCGTCGACGGCCGCGGCGCCTTGAAGCGACTTTAAGTGCATGCACCCCAAGCAGCCCAAAAAAGTAGGCAACACTTTCTGCACTTTGTTGGCCACGCCGCGATTTTGGCTCCTTTTCTACTTTTCTGCCGGCTGAATGGTTGACTGGTTGATGGATGGGCGACGAACTGACCCACCATAACTTGGCCTCATTTCAAGGCATTTTCAATGGATCCTAAGCGTGGTTCAACTCGCTTAAAAGTTAAGCATTTACTTAGTACGGAAATGTTTAGGTGTTGAGTGGCTTGAGTTGGGTTATTAAATTCCCTTTTATGGCTGCGAATAAATAAATAAATAAAAAGGGGAATCCCTTTACAAACCCCTTAAAGCTTTAAACTTACCACATCTGTATCGTTTACGGAACCCTTTTACAACCTCACTTGACAATATGCAATGATTGTCCCAATCAAATTCATATTTCCCCACTTTAAAAATTATCCATTATATATTGACGGCAGATGGTGCCATGTAGTCCCTCTTTTGATTATCTCCATCCATCCATCCATCCAGTGATCCAGCCATCCGTTCATCCATTCATCCATTTATCCATTCAACCATCCAATCCAGCCATCAATACATAATCAGTTTTAAGTTTGCCTTCCTGTCGCTGCCGAAAAACCGAATGCTGCTTACGACCCAATTTGTGTTTATTGCAATTTATATAAAGACTTTAAACACCCGCCCCCTTTTTGCCCGCCCCCCCGACTTCATATTCGACGCCCCTCTTTTGTTGGCAGAATATTTTCACTTGCCCGAAATTGTTTTCATCTCTTTTGCCTTCGCTCGTTTCGTCTGATGCGCAGATTTAATATTTCCGCACTATTGTCGGTTGGACAGGTGCCTTACCACCTCACCCTCACCCTCCCCCTCCGCCCCCTTTCCTCCTTCCCCGAAAAGGGGGAGGTGGGGTTAAGAGGGGGTGCAGGGTTGCCATGACGCTGTCAGGAGAGGGCACATGTCACATGTCGGTGCCACGCCTTTTTGGCCGATGAGGCGACGCCCACGCAGACAAACGCTTTATCGAGGTGTTGGCGCTCACCTCGGCCACGCCCCCTTTAAGCCGCCCTCCCCCCGCATTTTACTCGCCCTGTCGCGTTGGTTCAATGATGCTTTTTGACGGCTTTTGACTTTTTGGCATTGTTGTTGTCGCCTGCTTTATATTTATATTGACGCTTTTTTACGCACACATCCCGTCCACAGTTGTGCTCGATATAATAGTTGTGGTTTTTTCTCCGCTGGTTTTTTTCCTTGCCAGCTGCATTGTTTATTTAATTATCAACTTTTTCCACGTTGTTGTAGCCAAAAACAATTGCATAATTTGATGTAGATGTCTGTTTAAGCCTGGAAATTAAAACTTTGCATTAAATGTTAATGCGGTTTAGGTAATTAAGTAGTTGTCATAGAATTAATTAGTGGCACTGCCTATAATAATTACCTAATTGATGCAAAAATGTAGTGCAACATATTTTGTGCAACAGTGTTTTAACCACTAATTAATTAAAGGAAATTGTGTAAGAGAGAAAAATATTCCTTTCATTAATTGTTATAAATATTCAGAAAGAAAAGTATAAATTGATTATACCTGTGTTGTGCCATTTTTTCGCCCACGATTGTAGGCATTTTTTATTCCTTACCCCATTTATCTCTTCGGCACTCTCATATTTTTTCCCCAATTTTTTTTTCACCCGCTTATGGATTTTGATGTCTGGCCGAAACGCAACGAGCCACACAATGACCGACAAGAAACTGACAGCCGCAGCCTGAAAAAACCCACCACCCACCACCCGTCACCTACCAGCAGCCACCTGCCACACACCACCCACCGCCCACTTGCACCACCCAACACAGCCTCTCGTTCATTCATTCATTCAGTCAATCATGCAGCCATTCAATTTATCGTTGACTTAACTTTTTGATGGTTACAAAATGAAATTTATGGAAACTTTGGAGCGTTGCCTTGCTCCCTTTTCACCAGTGAATGGTAGTGATGTGTGGATCATATATACAGGTTCTTGTTTGGGGGATATAATATCTGAAAAAAATATATAGTGTGTGAATTATATGTTGCCTTATTTGTTAGAATTATTTATAGGTACTTAAACTATTTTAAAAAGAATATTTTCTTAGAGTGAAAAGCCATTTTGATCTTAGCCAGCATCTATTCTATTTCCTACAAAAAATATATTAAATAAAATTTAAAATTCTTCTATATTCCTATTGGAGTGTATAACTATCTTGTATGATTTTAGTCCAACCAGATAGCCCATCACTAGCAACTGGTTAACCTTTCCCCCCCCCACTCGTAAGTCCACCCAAAAAACCCCAACCCGAAGGCTCGACACTTGTGTTTGGGCATCCATCAGAAGTCGAGTCTGGACCGAAAAGCGAGTGTTATCTTTGCGGTCGCATCTATAATGGGTTTTGTCACGTTGCAGACGAGTCTGCAGCCCATTTTCCCTCCCTTCAACTCCCCATTCAATCCCCCCTTCGATCCCCCTTCACCTGATGACCCTCTGCTGAGGCATGAAAACTCACGTCGACATCAATAAACTTGAAACAAAAAGCGGTGAAAGGGAAAGGAGTGGTGTGTGTGTGTCTGTGTGTGTGTGTGTGGCATATTCGAAATACATTTGCCTGCTTAAGCCGATTTTAAAACTCAGTCCAGTTTGGGTCAGCTCAGCCCGGTTTAACTCCCAGCCCCAATTATCCCCACATTTTGCTGCTGCCCCCAGAAAAGTGCTTAATAACTTTGGCACCAAATGGCCAACCGGCTAGCGACAAGTGCATCAAATTGTCGGACATTTTGGCCACTGTTGACTTTGACCGAACCCGGCAAAACATAATTGTTAAAGTCCACTGTACTGTGTGTCGGTCTTCTCCGAAATTGCGGTTCAAACGGGGGGGGGGGGGTTGGTCAACCACCCCCTCTCCCCTTTCCCCTCCCCCTTCCCATTTTGGTGGACGTCCAATAAAAGCACATGCATGCAACAATAAATAAATTAGAACAAGGTGCGGTGCGACAGGGTCCAAGCCCATATTACGTGTACACTGAGCGAAAAGGATGGATAGGCAGGGTGAAACTAAACGTTTTATTTGCGTAAATTAAATATGCAAAACAATAAATATATTACTGTTGAAATTCGAGCTGAAAGAACTGTCAATTAAATATTTAATTGCTTTCGTCGGGTAAATTATAATTTGGAATTACAAATAAATAGAATCTATTAGTTACCATATACGTAAATAAAAAGTTTGTTAAGGAGTATCATCTAATATCTATTATAAAATACTGAGAAATTATCTACAAAATTCAAACTGAAAATTTAAATGCAGATTACAAGATAGCATATTACCCCCAACTTAGCTTTTTTCATAGCCACCATTAAACTTTTCATTCAGAATTCACTATCTTATCTAAAATGAAAACTATTACACCCCCAATTAAAGTGGAATCAAATGATATCCGCAAAAGTAATCCAGTAATCCGCAGAGTTTCTTGGGGTACTCTCGAAATATTTCCCCTCAGTGTTTGAGCCCTCGCTTAATAACGGGTTAGTCAGTCAGGTGGCCGTAGGTGGTGGTGGGTGCTCCGAAGAGTGGGAGGCGGTGTGGCAGTGGGTGGTGGGTGGTGGGTGGTGCAGATAGGGCTACCGTTTTGTTGTCTGCTTGACAGTCAGATGCAATTTATTGATAATATGCGGGGCGAAAGGCAGGAATGGGGAATGGGGAATGGGGCAGGATACCCCTGAAAGTCAGCGCCAACTTTATGAGAATGCGACCTTTCTGCCATTATGTTCGTTATTTACACACACCCATACACTACACACACACACACACACCCATACACACACACACATGACCACAGATGTCGAGGCAGTGCGCCAAAAGCCAAAAGCAAAGGCAAAAGCAGCAGCAGCAGCACAAAATTTGTTGCACAAATTGTGGCAACAAATTTCAGCGCAGACAATATTCAGTTGGTTCAGGAAAAGTCGAGCGAAGGGAAGTGAATTTTCGTGAGGACCAGGTTAAAAGTGGGCGGGGCGGAAGTGAAAAGAAGAAGAGCTGCCAAAAGTCAATTGCTGGAATCTCCTCACTTGACTTGACCAAAAAGCCCGAACTTGTTGAACTTGCACGGCATCGCAGTTCAATCGGTTAAGGTTTCAGTTGTGCAGTTCAATAAATACTATAAAATGCACAAAATATTTGTTTCATATCATCTAATACGATTTGGAAAAAAAACGGAGAGAAACAAATCAAACTAACGTCCAGCAGCGAAATATGAATGTTATTTAAATAAAACCATTTAGAAGCGAAAACTAATTTTACAGCGGAATGGTTTTGATTCGCCGTTTTCGGTGGAGTACAGCATATTTATTTACTCAACATGCAGGTTAGAATGTTTTTAAAGTTGTAGGGTATTCATAGGGGAACTGTTTTGCAAATTTGAAATAATATTTTGGATATAAAAATAATTTATATCAATGTTACTTTAAAAGTTTGAATGGTATGCATCACCATGCAAATTACAAAATCAGTACAAGTAACCGTTTTGTTATATTTTCTTACATTCTATTTAGAATACATACTTTTTTAGCTAGTAAAAACAGAATTGTAAGCTTTAAGTCTATAAATTTCTTCACAGTTTAATTTGCCATGTAAAATACCCAAAAATAAACATTCTTTGTTCTTTTTTTTTTTGTAGGAATACAATACAAAGACTGCCTCATGCCATGCCATCCACTATTACCACCAACCCAACGGCGGCAGCAGCTACAGTAGCTACACCAGCCGTCGCCACCATCAGCATCAGCAGCTGACGTCATCAGCGTCAACGTCATCGTCCACATCATCACTGCAGCCGCCCCATAAACGCTACTCCCTCGCCCAGGATCGCATGAATCCCTTCGAATTGGATGTCTGCGATCCGGGTGAGATGGACAGTAAGGAGGAGGAGGAGGAGGAAGAAGAGGAGGAGGAGAAGATTTATCGAAAGAAGGAGGAGGATCCCATGGAGCATCAGCGTTACAGAAGGGGGAGTTACTACTACCAGAGGAGTCAGTTGAACAGGAGGCGACACTACAAGTACGACGCCGTGGAGGAGTGCTGTCGTCCGATTTGCCAGGAACAGCACTATGGCTCCATAGCGGATATGTTGTAAGGAGCGAGCGGGGCGGGGATTACGGATACGGCGGTTACGGTTACCGGTTACCGATCAAATACGGAATCACTTTAAGGCGAAACGCAAGGTACCTACGACAAAGTAACTACAAAAGGGAACGCATGAAATGGGGAAAGGGGATTAGGAGAAAGTCGCTGCAAAGCGAAGAGATTTAGTAGCACATATAAAAAAGGTAGAGAGAAGTGGTAAAAACCCCCGCGATTAGAGCGATTGGCGATAAACGATAACCGATTAAACCGATGAACGAATTGAGCATGTTGAATAGATGTATATCGAAGTTTTTTTTCCTGGCGGCCGATGAACATTTTAAACTAATCGTTACTAAGCACAGAATTGATAAATATATATATTCAAAATATATGTATTATTAACCATCTGGCAGATCTGGCACCGCTATAATAATTATAACTGTATGTTAGGCATATGTTTATATAGATTATATGTAACCCGCACTCACCCCACGCAAAACACAAAACACCCACACTTATATATATACTTATATAGATATATATGAAGCTATATATGTATTTATTCATGTACATACGAACTATGTTAAAGCCAATTTTTTTTATTGCATCCGACTAGAGATACGTGAAGATGGTAATTTTTTTGTGGATGAACGTGGAGACTAGATCTAGAAGATTGCAGCACCATGTTGTCTACGCCGTAAAGCGAACATGATCATTAAACATATATAAATCTAAATATATACGATTTTTTTTATTATTTATAAACTAGCAATGCTTGTACATAGAGTAAAGATTGTGGATTATACCTATACGAATATTAATATTAATAAAAAAAGGAATATTTAATAACGAAGTGGTTTTTTTTTTGTAACTTAAGCTCTGAGTGTTAAACAAATTGTAAATAAATTTGGACACATAAACAATTTAATTGACGCACAACCAACAGAAGAAGCCAAGGAAAAACAGAAGTGAATATTTGTCAATGCCCGTCGACTTTTTTTGTTTTTGCATTCGATTCTCGAGTGGCGCGAAAAGAAAATAACGACAACAAAAAAAATAAGTAAAATCGATGGTAAGGCATTTAAGAAAAGCCACAAAAGTAAATCTGTAATTTATGTGCATGTAGTTAAAAACCGAAACAGTTGGCAAGTTGTTCCACTTACTTATTGAAAAATGTGTCTTAAGCAAATGCATATATAAGCCCATACATACCTACGTGTATACTAAAGATAAATGGTAAATGTACACCTCCTCCACACACACACACTCACACACACACACTCACACACACATGCACACCTCCAAACACCCAAAAACCCATACATCCACAGAGCAGGCACAGCTATAGAAAAACATTGTAAAGAATTTCATTTCCATTTCGAAAACTTTCCCCCAGCCAAACAAAGGATGTTCTTTTGCCCACAACAATTGGGGAAAATGGGGAAAGCGAGCTGTTGAAATGCCAACTGCAAAGACCCCAAACCTCGGCCAGAAATGAATTCCCTGAAAAACAAAGGACACGGGATGTTGCCATGCCAGAAAGATGTGACGAAACCTCTAATTACATAATATGGTTTTTATTATTTCCGACAACAGTAAACCCCAAAAAAAAAACAGGTGTCTGCAAATGTAGAGTTTTCAATTATTCAAGCCACATTTTCGGATGATTGTAGATGGCAATTAATTTCGTTAGCTGAAATGTATTATAATGCATCATCTCTTTTCCGGCTGAGGTATTTTTTCCCAGTGCATTCCGAACACCTTCCAAGTATCCTGCCCCTTTTTCCTTTCCACAATTAGAAGCAAACGAAGTTGAGAAGGCGAAGCACTGTAGGGGAAATTCTAGAATCAAGTTGTAGCAACTATGGAAAACCAGATTGTCGAAAGTGGCGACCACCAAATGGCGCACTTTCCACTCACGCACACAATAAGAGACAAAAAACACACAGACACAGATACACACACAGACACAAACTGGCAGAAAAATGCATATACAATGAAATTACAATTTTAAATTCCCCAAGCTGCACTTTGCAGACTTTTAAATGTCTACATAAATATTAAACGCGAACGTAACGCAGAAAGGCGCATTAGATATTGGATAAATCGTAAAATAAAGCAAAGTTTTAGCACCACAACCACAAGTATATGTATAACGAATATCGGGATAAAGATCTCCGATCTCAATCCCGATTCCAAATCCCGAACAAAACAAAAAAAAAAAAAGAAAAGAAGTGCTGGCGTTCTTTGGGTCTCGCTAGATTTGCTTTGCTTCTGCCATCGCCCGAATTTTGCTTTGCCGGTGAATTTTCCGTTCGAAACTTTGGTTTTCCCACAAACAAAAAGCTTAAAATGTGATATTTTATAAAAACAAAAAAAGAAAAAGAACTAATGAAAGAACGTAACGAAAGAACGCAGCACAGAACTATATAGAAAAACAAAAACGATACCAACAACAACGGGCATTTAACGAGAGAAGTTTACACCTTATTATGATTATTATTAATTATTATTATACTAATTTAAGCGAAAACTGTAAGTAACGTTATGCATATTAATTATTACCAGAGGAACGTTTTAAGTCTTAACGTGGAACTTGGCGAGATGAAAACTTTGCCTAGAAAAACGAGAAAAGCGCAAAAGAATTAAATAAAGATTTAATGCAAAACGAAAAACCCCAAAAGAAACGAACTATTTTTCTTAACATGGCATCCACAGAGCGTCCACATTGGGGAACTCGAACATGTTGCGCCGGCAACATAATATCCATGCCAACACAATTGCTCGTGCAACATGTTGCAAGTGTTGCGTGTTCGAGGGGACAAGCGTTGCATGCTTTTGGGCCGGGATACTTGTTGATTTACGGGCATGAGTTGGAGCTTCCTCTGCAGATCATGGTGAGAATCATTGCTAACTGATTTAATTTTAAAGATTAATACATTCGTTTTTAGTTGGGCTTTTCTAGTTACCAAAACTATACTTTGTTTGGCTGTAAGTTGTTTCTTGCCCAAATAACAGACAAATTACCAATGGAAAAAGTTTTTTTTTTGCCCAAAACTACAAAAAATGGGTTAAAAAACCCAGTTTTTTTGCATTATCTGAGGAAGTACTCTTCCAAATGTGGAATGGCATACATCGTTGAATTCGCAATAAAATTTCCTATCCGATGGCATAAACACCCAAAAAAGTTGAAATTTTGCCATTTTTCGCAAAAAATGACGATGTTACCCCTAATGAAAATTGCGAAAATTGGCCAAAAATCATTTTTTTTGAATCGTCCAAAAAGTGATTGGGCTCGTTAACTGTGGTCATAGGGTGCTCAAAACAGTGTTTGGTTCCGCTGTAAGTCACTTTTTGGCCTTATTACAACCAAAAAACCACTAAAAAGATAGGATTTTCTACCAAAATTGTCAACTGATCTTTCCCAAATCAGTTTTTATGAACTAACTAAAGGATCAGGATTAAATAACAATTGGCATGAATAGTTGGGCTTTTCTAGTTTCCAAAACTATACTTTGTTTGGCTGTAAGTTGTTTCTTGCCCAAATAACAGACAAATTACCAATGGAAAAAGTTTTTTTTTGCCCAAAACTACAAAAAATGGGTTAAAAAACCCAGTTTTTTTGCATTATCTGAGGAAGTACTCTTCCAAATGTGGAATGGCATACATCGTTGAATTCGCAATAAAATTTCCTATCCGATGGCATAAACACCCAAAAAAGTTGAAATTTTGCCATTTTTCGCAAAAAATGACGATGTTACCCCTAATGAAAATTGCGAAAATTGGCCAAAAATCATTTTTTTTGAATCGTCCAAAAAGTGATTGGGCTCGTTAACTGTGGTCATAGGGTGCTCAAAACAGTGTTTGGTTCCGCTGTAAGTCACTTTTTGGCCTTATTACAACCAAAAAACCACTAAAAAGATAGGATTTTCTACCAAAATTGGCAAAAATCCTATTATCTGAACGGAAGTTTCCTAACCATTCTTTTCCATACTCATCTACCCATCGATCAACGAGAGCAGCTGAAACCACGTTGGGGGATTCATCGAGGAGCAGCAGACAATTATTCGCCTTGGACGAGCAGAGAGATTTATTTATTATTAAGGTTTTATGTATGTTACTTTAGAGATATTTTTTTAAATATAGAATATTTTATTATAGATTTTAAGTTATTATTAAATGAAAACGAAATTAAATAAAATGTTTTTTGTTGGTTTGGGGCTATATTAAAAATTATGAGTGGTTTATAGAATATCCTCATAAGGAGTGGCTAAAAAAGAGATGATGGCTCAAATCCCTAAATTTGATGAAAAAAGCGAGTTCGAAAAGTATTATTGTCCATTTCGACAGCCAAATTGGCAATTTCTGAAAACGAAATACCAGGCGAACAGAAATGCTTAGAAGGTGGAATTTATCAAATTAATTTATACTTATATCCGAGTTTCAAACCCAGTACTATCAGTGATGCTCAACCCACAATCCCAGTATTTTTCGTGGATCGTGCATAGTCAAGTTTCGAACCACAACCATTACTACCATCCACAGAGGAAATTGTTGCATATCTTAGGGGGCTGCTTATTTTGGATTTCGGATTTTGTTGCCACCTTCTAGGCATTTCTGTTCGCCTGGTATTTCGTTTTCAGAAATTGCCAATTTG